TAATACAGGTAATAATAGTAATAATAATAATAATAATAATAGTAATAAATTAATTTATTTATTTATTGGCATTTTGCCAACTTTCGATTGAATTCTCGTGCCCAAAGAACTTGAGCTGTTGGAAAAAATGCATGGATAGAGGGAACGTATTAGCTAATGGTAGTCAATCATAAGCAATTATTTTTTGTGAAAATGAGTTTTATTATCATTACAGTAAGAATGATTTCAGATCAATGGCTTCGCGCTTAGCCTCGCTTTGAAAAAGAGGCTTGAGGCAACTCGGAAATAGCCTATTATGAATGAGTTAGAAACTGGGCTGTGCTGGTAATGTTATGAACATACCTGATTCATAAGTGAACTCTGTGACCTCTAAACTCTTGTAAACCTTTCCGTCATCATTAACGCCGATAACACTGATTCGATATTCCATATACGGCGACAGGCCGTAGAAAACATTAGATGTGGAATTTCCTTGCAGGATATTTCCATTCACGATGCTTCCATTGCTAGTTTTTATGACAGTTACATAGTGAAGGATACTTTGGCTCAGCAGTGGTGCCAAATGTTGCCAAGAAACTCGCATGCTGGTTGCTGTTTTGTTGCTAACAGAAACATTCCAACTGGGCACCAGTTGTGCTAAAAAAAAAGGCAAGAATAAATTATTTATGTTTTATTATTTTATTTAACTGATGGCATGGCTATGGGTTCTCCCCTTGGTCCCTTACTAGCTAATGCGTTCATGTCTTCAACCGAAGAAAGCGAGAGGGTAAACTCCCTTCCTTCTATCGAAGGTATGTTGATGATACGCTCACCATCATGCCGAATATAGAAACAGCATCTTCCTGGACACGCTTAACAAGGCACATTCCTCCGTAAAATTCACGATGGAAACCGAATGCAATGGCATGCTCCCATTTCTTGGCTTCCAGTTATACTGAATCGATCGCCTCAAATAGAGACAAAGGTGTACGTAAAACCCACGAATTCAAGTCTACTCTTACACTATCAGAGTCATGTTGACAATCTGGATCGAGCATATCGTTTATCTTCTTGTTGGTCACACTTCTTAGACGAATGTAAGCGATTGAAGACAGTATTCTCCCGTTTAAAGTACCCCAAACACCTCGTTAACTCTACCATCAAAAGTTTCGTTGACTCAAAGGTCTGTGACCAGCAGCGACCTTTATCACCACCTAAAGAGATGGATGACACGGTTCGAGTAGTTTTACCATTTAAAGACCAAATCTCAGTAGATATTGTGAAAGAACAACTCAAGGATCTGAGCCTAAAAGTAAACACCACCATCCAGCCTGTGTTTGCCAGCCGGAAAATTGAACAAGAACTGAATGTGAAAGAAGCAAAGCGACCGATGGTAAATTAACAGTGTGTATTTTATAACTTCCAATGTGGCCTGTGTGATGCAGGCTATGTAGGTTACACACGCGGACATTTAAACAATCGTGTAAAAGGACATGAGCAACAGACTGTCCTCCGCCATTGCCAAACATTACAAGAACGTGTACTAGACGATCCACCAGGACCTGCTGAAACGTTTCGAAGTGCTTAATTATAAGAAATGCAGGAACAAATTTGACTGTTTAGTGTACGAAATGCTTTTCATAAGAATAAATCTTAAAGCCAAATCTCAACGTGCAATCAGACTCTATTCGTGCGAAAGTATTTTCATCATCTTCGCACCCTGTTATGTTAAGTTTCGCGCCACATCGCGTTAAATGCTGTAATTTGCATGACCAAAAACACTCTCCTTAATGATGGGGTCATAACTACTCCGAAACGTCGGACTTGATCGTTCGTTTGTACCGTTTTATGTCGTAATAAATACATACATAAATACATAAATAAATAAATGAATAAATAAATAAATAAATAAAAAACAGAGAGGGGGGTTGATTCAATTTAGTGAACATTTAAATTACGTTTAAATGTGCATGGTTTGGTGTTTTCCCGTTTTTGTGGCTTAGTGCCTAAGAGGCTGGTAAGCCACTCTATGCTATCCTGTTGAGTGGGTGAGTGAATGAAACAATAGATTCCGAACCCACAACGAACTCTGCCGATTTCGATCCGATATTCCCCGATCTTAGCCCTTTTCTTGTTTCGGAACATCGTCGGTTGTTCAACGTTTGTCGAGGATAGCTTCCAATGGTCTCCAATAATGGAGAGTTAATGACAACGATTCGAGAAGAAAATTTCACAACCATGGGCAAAAAGAATTCTTCAGTTGGCGAGCAATTGCCCAATCTCATCCCCAGAGTCTTCGTTACCCGTGTACTGTGACAAGCTTGATCCCTTGTTTCCAACCAATGAAACATTCATTATCATGACAGCACGGCAGTCAAGAGCGCAAATTTGAACTCTTTTGTTAACTGAAGTAAACCTGAAACGTCATGACTGCGGACGTAGGCGACACGCTTTTGTCATATTTTTCCTTTTTTGCACAAGCGGTTTCTCCTTATTATCTTTGACAACAAACACTTCTAGAGTGGTGGTAGTGATGGTAGTGCCTGATAAATGTATGTGACAAAACACAAAAACTGACAGTGCTAACGTCAACTGTAAGAATGAAACTAACCTAACTGGAATCCCTGCTGTAAAATTCCAAATTGAAGCCTTGCGTTACTGTAACTTCCGTATAGATAGATTTGAACAGTGATATTTTCAGAGTTTCCAAAAGAAACTTCCGTGAATGGTTTTTGAGGGGTCGACGAGTATCCATAACGAATAAATACTGTTGCGCCTCTACCATCGACTATTTTAACATATTCACTGCAAAACAAAGGGAAACACATATCTTGTCATTGATAATGATAAACTAGCTGTCCTTGGTTTGGTCTCCTAAAGTTACCAGTTTTTCCTATCATTTCACCTTCCTCCCTCCCTTCTTTTCTTTCCCCCCTTCGATTCCTTACCTCTTCCCATCTTCCCTTTTGACACAAAAAAAACAAACAAACAAAAAACAAAACAAAACAAAAGGTTTATTCTAACTTATTTCGAAGCATAGTGTCTCGTTTTAACTCACTATGAATATGATAGGTAGAGTTCTTGTATTGACGTAAGTGCAACTGCTTGCTCTATTCCCACATTTCCAATTGACCAGGTGCACAGCACGTAACCGTAGTAATTCTTACGGCCAAATTGTAGCTGGCCAAATGACTGATTAAAGCTTCCTCCACAACCTATACAATAACCAAAGAAAGAAATTTAGGGAGCTTTTCATTTGTTAGAACTGACCGGCCAGACCATTCCTGTAGTAATGAGAATATAGCCAGATCAGTCAAATCCTAAATAGCATCCACAAAGGAGATAGTTTTTCGGCAAATCTCTTTAAAAGAAAAAGCTTATTTCTTTGTCAAAATGACTGGTCCGACCATAGTCTGACCGGCCAGTTCTGACTTTTGCAAATTCCCTTAGATAAAATAATATTAGGAAATTTATTAGTCCTGATCCGGCTTAATGGAAAAATATCAGCCGCGCGTCTTACATTTATTTTATTTCATTTTTATTTTTTCTTTCTTACTATTTTCTTTCTTTCTTTCTCTCTTTATAAATGTGTACGCCTGGACAAGAACAAACAAAACAAAAACAACGAGGGAAGGGGGTGGGGGGAGGGAGAGTTGCCCGTTGTAAAGAGGTAGCTGTTAGTAAAGATTCCACTGCATCATTCACTTAAAGGATAATTTACAGTGGTTTATTTTTGTTTGTTTCGACTGAAGAGTTGGGAACGATCATTTAAACAGCTACACATTGTCTACCGTCAATAGGGTCAATATGGGACTAACCCAGACACAATATATATACACGGTCATGTTGTTAACATCTTTAAGACTGTTCTAGATTTAGACTCTCCTGATTTTCCCCACTAAAATTATAAGGCGAAACGCTTTTTTGACCACAATCCATAAATTCATAAATGAATTTTGATGGCTATTTATATGGATCTATCAATTTCGTACTTAAATACTGTTCAGATTCCCAAATTACTCACCCTATTATAATAATAATTACAAATTAAAAATAAATAAATAAATAAATGAACATAACAGTTAGTACCGGCTAAAAGTAACTGTGCATTACCTGTGGTTATGAAAGTCCAGGACGAGCGCGGTCCTTCGCCTTTAGACGTAAAAGCTGCCACTGCTATTTGGTAACGTTTGGCCTGCTTTAGGTCTTTCAATATCACCATACTAACATTAGCACTGCTAGTGTTAACACTCTTTGTTAAATACGAGTAATAGTAATAATAATAAGAGGTGTATTCCCTATAGAAGACTTTGTATCCAAGGAGACGTCCATTTGCGTAGTTATAGGGGAGTGGTTCCCACTGAACTTTCACCTCAGCAAACTGTAAGTTTGAAAGTCGGATATACGATGGAGCTCTGCTGGGAACTAGGAAAAAATTTTTGTTTTCACTAAATGTTTTTAAAGCTTTTTAATTAACTTATTTTAAGTATTTAAGTAATTTTAGAGTACAAATTAAATGTTTCCTCTACATAATTAAATCGCGTAACTCAAGAATTTGTATCATTGCCTTTGTTGATAACTGAAATGATTTAACAGTCGTATAAAGACTCAGTAGCTGAATCGATCTTGCAAGGGCTAAGCGTTTTTTCAGAGCGAATCAAGGAATTGTCTATTCTCCCACGCAGACGTTCTTAGGGGCTCGTCACTCGTTTCAGGAACGCGTGATGTAGTTTCTTCACATTGTCGGTTGCTAGTTGCCGCAATGACATACTATGAGGCTATTTGCCTGTACCTACGATACGTACTGATACAACTAAAAAATTAAATAACGTTTTGATAATGCGCTTACCCCCTTCGTCCGTCCATGCTGAGCTCTCTGTACTGTTGTAGGCCCCGCCACTGTTATTTACACCAACAACAAATAACCGATACTCTCTATAGACCGATAATCCATAGAATACATGGGAAGTAGTATTTCCTGAGACGATGTCACTGTTTAGACTACTACCATATGAGTCTTTGACGACTACAAAGTAATGACTAATTAGTTGACCAACAAGTGTTTGCAGGTTTTGCCAAGAGAATCGGATGCTCGTCGTAGTAGCGTTGACAATGGACAAGCTCCAGTTAGGCAGTGGAAATGCTAGAAATAAACAAAAAAGCAATTAAAAAAATATATATATCCCACGTATACCAGGGCCGCTTGCCAGTATAATTGAAATTATATAAACAAACGAAGTGACAAATATATGACAAAACATCAGGTAGAATTCCGCTTATTTGTGCTTCGAACCACTTTTAAACGCTTATAAAAACCTCTCCCGACCGGAGACAGGTTAAAAAACAAATGGTAATCCTATGGAACCCCGGCACAAGCACATGGTTTCATGATCCTCTATAACCTTGTGAGCGAAAGATGCAGAAAGATGTAGATACTTTATGAGCTGTATTTGTAAGTGCCTCTAATAAAGAGGGGCCTTCCAGATGGCGGGGCAAGCATCCTCCAAGGTGCCTATGAAGTTTGCCACTTCGCGAGCTGCTGGGGTCTAGAAGGGACTTTCTTAGTTTATGGCGAAGCCAAGCTGCTGTAAGAGGTCCATTATTAGCTGAGTTAAAGGGTATTTTTTTAATTGCCCTCAATGATAGGAGCTTCAGCGCTTCTGCATCTACATCTGTATAAGAGAAGCTCTTGAATCCGATCATTTTGTGACAGGAATGTGAAGTTGAAGAGGAATAGAGCGGAATGGGATTCGATGTCCCGAAACAACGTTTAAAATTTCTGGGTCTTCAGTTATCTGTTTCCACTTCTCTAGGAAGTTGTTGAGTCTTATATGTTATGAGAAAATCCACAGAAGTGATACTGTAATTGTCCAGGATTTCATAAACCCGATCATAACTCATTTTTCTACGGAATTGTTTATCTATGAAGGAAGCCAGTTCCCTTGTGGGTTCCCATAAGAACTGGGCGGAGTCAGGATTGTATAAAGGAGATTTGTTGCTGGCCACCAAGTGTGCTTGGGAGCCTTCGGATGATTGGGAGACGTTTGTCTCCTTTGATGGCCTAATATCCTGGTGTTTTGGCTGAGTAGCCTCAGTTTGGGGCTCAGTAGCCAACGGCACACATTCTTCAGAATAATCAAGTTCCCTATAGGAATAGGCCAGAACCGAAATTTGATCATCATGTAATACCGGGAGATTTCCTCAGTGTTGCCCGAAGCGAGGCTCGATGGAGGAAAAGCAATCACTGGTCTTCGCCATGTCTGTTTTAATTTGCTGTAACGTAGACAGGATAAAAGCTAAGATATGCCTTCGGCTGCTGGAGGCACAGAATCCGGAGTTTTCCGCCCTTTAGGCGGAAAACTGTTTGTCGAGTGCAAGCGTTCGCGATAGCGGGAACGCGAAGACGAGTGATGAAACCGTCTTCGTCTTGTAATCGTTTCCTACGACCAGAAAGGTCAAATCAGTTTGAAAACAAACAGCTTCCAAAGATTTCCTCCCTATCGAGGAGGTGTAGCTATAGGTGAAAAAGGAAAAAAAATAAGGAAAAAAGTACGGTAAAGATTCATTTACTTGTGGTAGTTTCGAAGCACAGCAGAAAAAAAGATGCGGAAGATCGATCTTGGGACCAGGTGCTTGTGTATGGACTCCATGGGATTACGTCATTTGTTTTTTAACCTGCCCCCTTCGGGACAGGCTTTTATGTGCATTTAAAAGTGGCTCGAAGCACAAATAAGCGGAATTCTACCTTCCGTTTTGCCATATATTCCAAATGGAGTGTGAGTTATATGTGTTATATACAGTAAATATTAATGGAAATAAAAATACAAATAAAATAAAATAAAATAAAAATGAGTAAATGATCAAATAAATGTTTCGAGTTATTTATCTTAAGGTTTTGAAAATAGAATATTATAAGATTTCATGCGTCTCATCCTTCATCGGTACAGCGAATAACACCCTCCGAACTATTAAGTTTCATACAGTGTAGTGCACGCTGAGGGTGCTATGATTGGTCGTTACCTATAAACTATCATATTCACGTCACAGAAATGTCTTACCAAAAACACTTAAGCAGAAAAAAAAGAAAAGATGAAAACCTTGAGAAATTCCGCCATAATAAAACAACAACAACAGTTAAACAAAAAATATATAGTTGCATACAGAGACACTTTAACTGCCTTAAGCCCACGCTAGTTTTTGTTCTTATACACCCACAGGCTTGAATAGTACAAGATTACTTGATTCACTTTTGTTATGATCATATTGTAATCGGTTTTGTAAATAGGGGCATTTCACTCAATATCTCCAATATTTCCATAGCTATCGTTATGAATGTTACCTTTTTTTTTTTTATTCGCAGACAAGCGTATGTAAATATATAAATATTACATATAAAATGAGTTTAGCTGTAACAGAAATGCTAACCTGATTGGAATCCTTGTTTTAAAATTCCAAATTGTAGCCTGAAGTTACTGTAGCTTCGCCTTAGGTAGATCTGCACAGTGATGTTCCCAGAATTTCCAAATGAAACTTTCCGGAAAGTTTTCTGAGTTGCAGACGAGTATCCATAGCGACTGAGAACCGTGATACCGTTACCATCAATTACCTTAATGTACTCGCTGTACGAAAAAAAAAAATCAGACGATATAAAATACCTTCAAACGACCTTCTTCAAACAATAGAAGCAGGGTATCCGGGCGTTCAGGTCACATTTGGGATGCAGTACTGAAAGTGTCGTAGTGTGCCGGGATGGAAATGAGGCTAGCACTGAAGCTGTTTTTTGGGTGTGGCCAGGATTAGAGCGTGGGGTCGCGCGCGCCGGGGAAGGTCATGCGACCGCGCCTGGTTCGTGTATTAAGCTTAGCGTTAGTGTAGCTTTGAGGGTGTGGCTAGGATTCTCGTCGGACTACCCTCGAATTATGGTCGGACTATCCTCGCAATAGTCTAGGGTTAGGGTTCGTGTCTTGGTACTAGTAGAAGTTCGGGTACTGGTCAGATTATGGTCGTGTTCGGTTACTAGTCGGAGTTCGAGTACTGGTCGGGATAGGGTTCGTGTGCTAGTCGGAGTTCGGATACTAGCGGGTTCGTGTCGGACGGATGCCGTCTCCCCGTATAAATAAAGAGGGAAGGTTTACATGTGTAAACAAACGGTAAAGAGAGACATGAGGTTTCTACCACGCATGCGCAGTCAACCTTCCCCCAAGAAAATCATGATACCGATATACAATTCTGCTATGTTTATAATTTGACTAAACAAACCCGGTTACCAACAGGACATGTGGAAAACACTAGTTGTTTATCCGCCCTTTTCACACGGTGACGCAAACTAGTTTTTTTCGGAAAAAATGTCACGCTATATCATGTCACGCTATCACTGGAAAATGTTCTATTTTCACTTCCACGCAACGACTTCAAAAAAGTGTATTTACAAGATAAAACATTATTTACATTCGTTTAATTAATCACATTGTCATGAAAGTCTCAGGGTCATAATACCAGTACGGGTAAGTTTTGAAGGCAGCAGGATCGACCACCCGTTTGTTAAACACCAACCGATAATACTTGTACTGGGGAAGGGTGTACAACTCATATCGCTTTGCGTCGTTTAATCTGATACGTTTTAGGCAAGCGGGTTTCACGCAGTTTCTCCAAGGTTACTGGGACAAGAAGTATGTCTATATCTATTGTTATCGAGGTTATGGTAATCAAGGCCAACATCAACGCAATGTCAATAAAGAACATTGTTCAGCTTGTTTAACGAATGGTTGTCCTGATTACCTTCACCGAGCCAGTCGCGTGACTCTTCAGTGTGAACGCTGCTATCGTTTTTTTCTATGGAGAAGTGTGTTTTGCCAACTATAAGAAGACCGCTTATCGTGGTAAAAGGGGTAAAGGACTGACGTGTGCGAGTGTGTGTGAATTGAGGAAAAATCTGCCCTGATTGTCGGAGATTATTGAAAGGCAGTAAGAAGTTAGAAAGCATCAATAATAATAATAATAATTTAATAATTTATTACTTATTCGGCGCAAATATCTATATGAATATATATCAATGGGGCTATGATGAATGCCGGAGCTGCAAACAGTATGTGCCGGTCCTGGAACATTGCTGTTTCATTCAAAAAGTGAAAACGCCGGAAGAAGAAGAAGATCCCTTGCATGTGTTTTTTTGATCATGAAGTGATGCAAACTCATGAACAGCACGAGGCTAACTTGCTGATTGCGGAAAGGGAAGACTCTGAGACACAAAATGGAGTGTAATACAGGTCTCAGAAGCGTGGCAAAAATTACCCTTAACAATGTTTGGGGGAAGCTCCGAAAAGCGCCTAACAAGACCCAGATTCAAGATTTCACTGAGCATGAGAAGCTGACGGAGTTCCTGGGTGACTCTGGTGAAATTGATGTGTGCTCTATCGATGTCGTCACGGATGACACTGTGGAGGTCTATTACAAGAAAACAAGACGATCTATCTGCAATCGATGTCAATATTTTCTTGACTTGTTTCACGGCTTGCTGGGCCCGTTTACATTTGTATGAAGTCGTAGAAATGCTTCAGGAACTTTGTTTGTATTTCGACACCGATTTTAAGGTGATTACGAGCGAGCCAGGGCAACCGAATCCACCGCGTGATTCTTGATCACGTGACTCTCCTCCGCGCGCGCGATCCTCCGCTTTACGAGACCAGTCACTCGGGTCCAGACTCAAACCCTAGCCACACCCTCCAAGCTGCGCTAACGCGAGCCCCTACCATCATAAACTATGCAGCTCATTTGCATATAAAAACACCGCTAACGAGCCGATACTCTGCTAACAGATTTATGTTGTTCAACGGACAATGAGGTGAGTCCATCACTTCAGACCAACCGTTCGCAAAAACAAGACAAACTCTTAAATTCAAGAAAAAGCAATTAAAGCGATTTGAAACAGGAAACAATCCAAAAGAAGCTTCTCCACCTACCATTAACAAAAGAAGAAATTAAAATTCTTTAACACAGAAAATGAGTAATCCGGGTATTTATTCACCTGACTCTCCGATGAATCCAATAAATGCGTTAAGGTTCGACAATTGTTTACATCTATCTAAATAATCTTTTACTTAGTCTAAACCGTTGCTTGTTTGTTTATTTTTTACTGGGATTAGAGTACTGAGCAATTAGAACCAAACACTGGCTCATCGTTTAATTCATGTTAATCAATACTCTCAGACGCCTGTATCTTTTACCTCAGGTTTCCCTTTCTACGCGTGTATAAACATATCATACTCGCCTGTAATAAGACAAATAGAGGTCCGGTAAGGACACAAATGCAACAGCTTGGCTTATCCCTGCATTTCCAATCTTCCAGGTACATTGCAGCGTATAGTAACTATAGTATGAACTGCGGCCGACTTGCAAGTTACCAAACAATTCATTTAAGCCACCTCCACAACCTACAAATCAAACAGTGCCTCTTGTTATACTGTGTAGAGATAAAAATGCTGCATTTAACATCACCAGGATTTTTTTTAATACGCTGTTGAACGACACATGCTAAGGTGTGTTTGGCACTGAATTAAAAATATACCGATACTCATTTTTCGCCGTTAAATTTATTAGAAAAAGTGAGAATTTCTTCTCAGCTCATCGCGTTAAATTAAAAGAGGAAGAAGAAAAAAAAGACATTTAAAAATTACTGGATGACGCTGTTATATGAAGAATTGTGAAGATAAAGAATGGTGTTCTATCCGAGGTATTTGAGCCAATCAAAATCAGACAAATACAGTCGACTCCCGATAACTCGAACCTTCAAGGGAAATCGAAAAAAGGTTCGAGTTATCGGGAGTTCGAGTTACCGGGAGTTCGAAGAAAATAGCCGAGGGTAAGGTAAAAAAAACAATTTTTACTGCACGGTGAAAATTTTAATCACATTTAATTGTAGAAATGCCAAGTGAAAATTAAAAGATACTTTTAGATTGTAAATCAGAACGTAACGTAACAAAACATAGCCTAAATATAGCATGCGTTTTGCTGTTTTGAGAAGAAAAGCTGCTTCACGTTACCCTGTGACAATCAACATTAGCCTCCACTAGTAAACTATACTCCTACAACACGTCAATAGGAAATCCAAAATTCAATGTTTCGGACGCCAGTAGACGGCTTTTAAGGGCTCAAAACATGGTTCAAGTTATCGAGGGTAAAATTATATAGAAAAATGACCTGAAGGGAAACGAAAATTGGTTCGAGTTAGCGGGAGTTCGAGTTATCGAGGGTTCGAGTTACCGAGGGTAAAATTACGGTGAATGTACGACGGAAATCCAGGGGAAATCGATTTTGGTCCGAGTTAGCTCGAGGTTCGAGTAAGCGAGGGTTGGAGTTATCGGGAGTCGACTGTATTATTAATAAATATGCGTTATTGACCAAGCGTGAAGTCAAGATGACTAGATGCAGGCAAAGTTCTTTTTTTGGGACGTAGTGGAGGTCAATGAAAATGCAAAAAAGAAGGAGGCCAATATCCAATGATCTTGACCGAACAAGCTTGGTCAATAAAGGATATATATGGGACCAACGTGGGAAATCTCAAGCGGGCAACATGAGCCCTTCTTGCCCGCTCGGGTAGCCGATCAGAACGCAGGATTCGCTGCATCTTGGCCACTTGCGGATTCAGCCAAATAATAATTGTGGTAGTTAGCATTATGCCAAAAACAAAAAAAAACAACAAAACAACACAAAACAAAAATAAAAAAAATACCTGTTGTTACGTACAGCCAGTAGGACTGCGTTCCAGCGCCTTTAGACGTAAAGGCTGCCACAGCTATTTGATAACGACTAGCTGCCTTGAGACCTCTTAATATTACCATGTTTACATACGGACTTCTGGTGCTAACCGATTTTACAACATATGAGTTATAATACTCGTAATAGTAGACTGTGTATCCAAGGAGACGCCCATTAGCGAATTGCTGAGGGAGTGCATTCCACTGAACTTTAAGTTGATCAAACCGTACGTTAGACACTCTCACATTGGACGGTGCCCTGCTGGGAACTAAAAAAAAAAAAAAAAGAAAAAAAAAAAGGGCGATCAGTTGAAGAGAACTGTTCTGCCTATGCACATGATCTATGATCTATCAATTAAGTGATGATTCTCCATGGTCTTGGCAACTCACGAATATCTTTGTTTGTTTCTTTCTTTATTTGCCTTTATTGAAAATAACACCCACAAGAATACGTGTGAGTTAACAATAATCGTATAATAGTATATACTAAAATATAGGATGTAAATTGAAAATCTAAATAACATTTAAAAGGCATCTATTGATTAAACATCGCTTGAATCTTTCAGTTCTAACAAGAGGCAAAATCTAATCGTGACCCCTTTCTCGTAGTTTCTGCATGCGCTTCATGGGGATAAGATAATTTAAACAGTGATTGTCAGTGGTCACCTCCTTCCATAATCCCAAATCTTTTCCACGTATTAAGTCATAAATCTTATGATCGAATGCCTCTCCTAGGCTCATGGTTGCTCGTTAAATGTCACTCCTAATAACTTACTTGAGATCCCCCTTCCTCGCAATATCTTTCATGGGTTCCGGGATTGGTTTTTAGTATTTCCTCTAACCACCATTTCTTTTTGAGGTTCAAGTTCATTCGATTCTCAATAGACTAGCGTTGGATATCCTTTACCTCAACTAAAGATAAGTCCCTGAAGAAATTAGCTTAGTCTTCAGCATACCTCACGACAATTGTTATTGTTATTATTATTATTATTATTATTATTATTATTATTATTAGTAGTAGTAGTAGTAGTAGTAGTAGTAGTAGTAGTATTACTTTGATATAATAGACATATACTCCATATACTGAAGGTCACATGAGTGCAGAAAAAACTTAGAATCGAAAAATTCAAGCTTTTGTCAGACTGATACTTTAATGGAAGTTATTTATGGAATCATGTGTCGTCTAGAGATATAGAGAATCCGGTGACTATAGAAAGGAAAAGCGTATAGAAAGATGTGGATACGGAAGCACGCAGTAACGCATGCGTCCCTTGCCACGAAGGAAATAAGAGACGTCTGCAAGCAGGCTATATACCATATTCCGAGGTTATATCGATGCTCATCCGCAAGCGTTTCAAATGCATAGTAAAATAAATTATTCTCTGTTGACGTGGCGTCGATTACGCGTTTTGTCTGTAACGTCATGTAACACACACCTCCTTCCTCTGTCCGGACTGTGACGCTTGAGCTATTGTACGGTTGACCATGCCTGTTTATCCCCATGACGCTTACTTGATATTCGGTGTATGTTGACAGCCCCAGAACGTTTGCAGCGCTTGAATTCCCAGGAACGACCGTTGCACTTGATAGGTTACCATCATGGGCGTTAGCAATATGATACAGTACGGTATCATCGATAAGTGGTGCTAAATTCTCCCAATGGACTCTAATCGACGTTCTCGAGGTGTTGCCAATGGTCACATTCCAGTCTAAAGGTATGGCTAAAAGATAAACCAGAGGCAGCAAGAATGAATATACCGGATTGAAAAAAAAACTTTGTCGCGGAAAAGTCTAAACATGAACGATGAAGCTTCAAGGATTTATGGATATACATTCATTAGCATAGCAAATTCAAAGTTCTTTCGACAAAAGTGTACATTGTCACGAGATGCTCGTGCGGATGTAAATCGCTACAGTACTTTGTTTAAGGCATGCCGTTGTATTTTTTGTCTTCCAAGAAAGCTGTTAGGTTCTATCTTATGATTTTCAAGTGTGCGTTAGCGATATGGCTACGCTCTTTAACTGCAGACATCTCTTATGTGTCCAGCACAGGTGAAGTTGTTAGCTTATCGCAATGAAAACTGGAAACTGTTTTTTATTTGTTAGATTGCATCGTCGAGAAAAGCTTCAGTAATGTAAAAATTTCTGAAAAAAACTTTAAATTTGTAATGCTAATTAAGTTCTACCCATAAATCCATTAGGTCCCATCGTTCGTAGTTTATACTTTTCAAGCGACAAAATTTTTCCAATAAGGTGTATGATAATGAAAATATAAAGCCTTTTCGAGATAATGACATATCAGGGTAATAAAATAGAACAAATGAAAACAACAAATGAATGTTACTAGGCTTATATCAAGGTATCAATGTTGTAAGTTGTGCAAAATCTGCTAGAACCAGTTCAACTAGATCAGTAACTTTAAGTCAAATTGATAACAAAAAGAAGCAACGCACGTATAGTTTGTCTCAACTGGCTGCCTGCCTGGTTCTCCTAGGACGCTATTATGTAAAACTAATATCACATTGCACCCTATAAGAATAAGTAGATTTGTTAACACTATGAAAGGATTGTTACCTGAGAAAAGGCCTTGCTTGATAATTCCGTATTGAAGCTTGAAGCGACTGTAGCTGTTTCTTAAATAGATCTGAACAGTTATGTTATCAGCATTTCCAAACCCAACTTCGAGGTAAGATGTCGGAGCAGACGAGTGATATCCGTACTTATACCAAACCAGCGATCCATTTCCGTCAGTTATGTTGATATATTCACTAAATTGAGAGGGCAGTAACGTACTCAAAAATAAAATCAAACACTTTCTATTATTTCGTTACAGTCAACCTAAAAGATTTAAGTGCAGTTGTCATCTCAGAAAAAAAAAATATAATGCTCCTATGTGGTATTATATCTCCTTGTTATGGGTTTTTTATTTGCTTATGTACTGATTACTAGTTCCTAATAACGAAGTTACCGTCAATGAGGCACGTAAATAGAGCTCTCGATCTTCTTACTTATACGCAATGTGTCGGTTATAAGAGATTCCATTGTAAAATAAAATTGTATTCATTCATTTGGCATGATTGATGTTCACTCAAACATTGGAAAACTTTGGAAAACTGCAAAAAATAATCAGACGGGAATCTACAAACAAATTAGTACCTGTAATATGACAAATACAGATCTTGTATCCAAACTAGTGCAACTGCCTGATTTATGTCAACTCTACCAACCACAAATGTACAAGTGACGTAGCTCGAGCCCCTGTTAGAGTCAATCTGTAAATGGCCAAAAGAGCGATTTGCGTATCCTCCGCAACCTATTTGACAATAAGAAAATAAAGCAACGTACATGTAGTTGTGGAAAAAATGATTAAAATGATTATTTTTTATTTATTTATTTTTTCATTATTATTTTTTTGTTAACTTCCAAAGGAGTTCCAACATGAAAATAAAATAAAATCAAAACTGGGCTAGTGACAAGAGCTGCGGCAAGACCTTCCAGTGAGGATGGGCACTTATCGGAAAGTGGGCAGCAAAGGAAACATTACGGGTAGTGTTTTCCAGAGAACGGAGAAAAAGGAGAACGAGAACTATCAGGAAACCAACTCCCAAGAAGAGA